TTTTTTATATATTTAGCTGACAAAACAAACAAACAAAAAATTACTATTGTGGCCTAATTGCAGCTGCTTTAGCTGAAATTCAGAAAATTTGGATTGCTGAACTACAGGAAGCTGTAAGTTGTGGATACTGCAGAAAGCTTGGTAACTGCTGCTTCACCCAGACACCCAATCTAATTTTAGTTCAGAAAATTATTTCCCAAAAAATGCAATCACATTTTCTTTTTCAAAATATTGAATGCTTTTTAAGTTCATCACAAGCATCTCATTATGAAAGGCAACGTTTCAAACATTCTTAAAGTCTGCAACACAGACCATAGTTGTCTCTCAAAAGAAAGCAACATTCTTTTTACTTTCTCTGAAAAATCAAGATAGAAAAGGAAAACTTCAATATATAACCACAGTTCTAGAGTAACCTTCCAGGCCAGAAACACACATCTATCTTCATAACTGTTAATCTCTGTTTTTTAACCATTTTTAATTACCTGAGGAATCAATCTACTGAATTCCAGATGTGAAAAAACTGGACCATTTTGCATAAATCAATTATGTACCCTTACATAGGACACTATGTACCCTTAAGGTCTGAGATGTCCAGTGAACACTAACCTTGCCCTGCACGCATAGGAGTTGTGTTCCCAGAATGTGTTGGAGCATCCTTATTGGTGCTCTCTTTTTTGTGACTGCTGACTGCAACCACTGTGTTTACCTTCAAGTTCAGCAAACACACTGGTAACAACTTTCTTCTGCAGGCATCATCAGTTGCTCTGCAAGAGAACCAGCAAATCTTAAGGTTCCTTCTGTCCAGCCCTTCTGCAAATCTCCTGCTTTCGTTACAATCTGGAGAGTGGTGGAATTGATAGGATTTGTCCGTATGCTTGGATTCGCAGTGACACAGCTGCTTGGGGATGGAATTTATTCCTGCTTCACAAGTTCTACCTGTCCAATATCTCTAAAGAATGCAGATGGTCATGAAGGAACAGAAGCACTTGTAGTAGGAAAAGAACCCTTGAACAGACAAACCTTTTGCAGTAATCACCCTTATATAGTACTACCCTACAGCAATGACACAAAATAGTCCTAATTCTTCCTACATTTGTGTTACAATTATCAATAGACAAGAAGGGTTCTTCGATAATATTTTGTTTCCAGCCTGTATTGTGTCTGGTAGAAAGCGGTCAACCAGCAACACTAAAAAAATGCAGACACAGGCTATATTCTCATAGCCAGTTACTATGTTATAGTGCATAGAAAGAGAGACCAGAAATTTCAAGATTGGTGGCTTGCAACAGCTGTCTCCTTACTGATCCCATCTGTGTCCTCCTCAGGGAAATTACATATTTCAATAACTTTTTTGGACTTGGCTTTGTTTTAAACTTCCTAAATTACAAATGATACATTCGTTGCTTGTGGTCTAACCACATTTCCTTTTCTTGCATTTTTTTCTTCATACCCTAAATTTGATTTTTGACACATGCTTGTGATGATGCATCTCTTCTCTCAGCCCCTCAGGTCACACTGTGAGCTGAGAAATGTTCAGTAGGCCTCAGCCTTGAACAGCACCTGGATTGAGCTTCCTTGAGGAAAGTTTCCAACCTAAATTGTGGCTAGGATGGACAACTACGATGACTAAAGCTCACTCTCTTGCAACCCTATAAACAGCAGTCCTAAGCAGGACCCTTTGAGCTCTCCAGGACCACAGTGGGCTGCAGCCAGCAACGTCCCTCTCAGAGCCGGTGAGCTCTCAGCTTTCATCTGCTTGGAGAATCACCTGGGCTGACACCCCCACTGCTCGAGGCTCAGCCCTTTGTCCATTGACAAGACCCAAAATTGTCTGATGGGAGCACTTTACTGAATTCAAGGGATACTGATATATACTTCTCCAGGTCTGCGTACATGACAGCGTGAATATTTTATAGCAAATGTACTATGAATGTTGCTCTCCTAAAAGAGTCACATTTGTAAGCGAGATACTGTTGTGCTGTAGTAAATTCTATATTAATCTTTTGTTAAATTGTTTAACTTAAGCTATCGATTTAGTGCTGTTAAGTGCTATTAAACCTTTAGGCCTAAACTGTTGGTCAACAGTGGCTCAGTTTAGCTGTGGTCTGAGCCTTGCACCTAAATGGGAGTGTCTTCCTAATTCCTTTTTATCCTTACCTTTTCCCACCCTAGCTCTTTTCTTCCCCCCACTCCCCCTCCAGCCTCCTCATAGATAATTTATGGGTTGATTTTGGGGTTTGATTGATTGATATTATGTTTCAATCTGATTTTTTTTTCTGTTTGCTTTAGCCATCCAGTAAGTGGTAGAGTGAACCTTACCAATGAATTTTTTTCTCCCTTTCAGTTTTATATTAAATCTGCTTTTGCCAATACATATGTCAGTGATTCTATAAGCAACCTTAAAACACTCATTCATGATATTACATGTCTAGCTGCAGCAAAAATGGAAGCCACAGATGTGGAGAAGGAGAAATATAGTTTTATTAAGGGCAAAAGGGAACAAAACCCACAGCATAAATCACTGAAATGACCCATTACCTCCAACCAAATGACCCATTACCTCAAACCAACTATCATGTGAATTCACTTTTACATGATGAGGCAAATCATTACAACTACAGTCTACAAAAGTAATATTAGCAGTTCCTTTTCTCTATGGACTGGCAAACAAAAATCAGGCATTTCCAAGGTCTGATTAATGTCAGTAATTCAGGATATAAGAGCAATAAGAACAACATCTGGCATTAGTATGAGTATGTATATCCTTAATTTCCCTTGTCCCCCTTTACCAATGATCCTTAATTTCCCTTGTCCTCCTTTACAACTGCATCATGGGCAGTGAGGATCCTCTATAAAGGGACTGTGTCATGATACACCACAGTGCAAAAACACTTCCACTTTTACAGAGGTTGAGTCATTCAACGTGCGTCTGCTTTGCTGGCATTCAAACAGCTTGGGAGTTAATGCCATTTAGCTTTCAACCTTCCTTACGTGTAATCCTCTGTTATGCTGTAAAATCTCAGGGCGGTCAAATTCTGTATGGTGTCACAGGTTCAGGGTGACCTGTTGTCTCTCCAAGCTGAGGTGAGGGGGCAGCCACGGCAAATTCAGTTTCAATTTATAGTAGCTGATTCTCATAGAAGGTAGGCTTGGTCCAGAGCTATTAACAAACCATGGGCACCATCCACAGTCACATGTGTAGTAAATATATGTTTGACCATTAATTTGTTAGGCAAGACATTGACGACAGTATATTAAAAAAGGAGAAAGTTTCATATTTCAGTTAAGTATTAGGAAAGTTACTAACATTTCTGTAAGATGTTTGGCCAGAATATGGATGTGCCTAGTATGTCTGATGGCAATTCTGTGCTGACAGAGAATGTCCAAATTTATCTGTGCTAGAAAACGTGGGAAATACTGGTAGAGAAGGACTGAACATTGTGAAATATTTGAGATTTGGAAATATCAAGGCACACATCTCCAGAGGAGAAATCCTCTCCAGTAAAAGCTAACACCAGAGAATAGCTTTTGCCTATGAACCACATTTACACAGCTCTTTAGTTGTCTGACAGAAAGGAGACCTCCTACAGCTGATCTGAAGGTCACTACAGATGTTTGCTTAATTTCTTTGTTCCTTTTCCATCTACTTGTTAACCTAGCAACAGTGTTGTCTCCATTTTGGAAATCTATACTTAGCCTTTTCTTTTACCTAAACATCTTCCAGAAACTATGCATGATTAAAGGATATTTGACAATCAATGTTTCATTCCCATGAAACTTGAGACATTGTCATGACACCCAACACTCCAATTGTGTTTTCAAGTGCACTGAGAAGGTAATGGAGCTCCTCCACCTCTGTGAATTAAGTACCACTATAAAAGAGATGCCTTCTCAAACCCAGCAGTAATGGCATGCAAGGCAATGAGAAGAGTGGGCAGAGCCTTGATGGTATCCTAAAAACCTGACAAAAGATTTTCGAAAGTTATTCTCCCTTGACTTCTCCCCACTAATGCTTGGAGGAAATATGGTTCCGTTTTATCCAGGATATTTTTATGTCAGATTGGTATCTTCTGTCAGGCAGCTAATAATAAGGGAGGATTAGCATAGTTTTGAATAGCTCTTCTAACATTGTTTTAAAAAATATTATTAAGACAAGAGTTCCAAAGGATTAGGAGTGTATATACACACCAAAGACCTCATTTTCACCTAAATTCCCTACATGCAACAGCTGAAGGCTGCTCAGGGTATAACAGAATCATGGAATGGGTCTGTGTGGAAGGGACCACAGTGGGACATCTGGTCTGACCTCCTGCCCAAGCAGGGTCATCCCAGAGCACATTGCACAGAATAATGTCCAGTCAGTTCTTGAATATCTCCATTGAGGGAGGCTCCACAACTTCTCTGGGCAATCGGTTCCAGTGTGGCATCAGCATACATTAGCAAAATACTGTTATTTCTATCCCAACCTTCTCTTCTCCCTGTCCAAATGAGCATTTGCAATCTTCTCAGTGAAATAGTATGTAAACAGTCTTTACCATTCCTTCAAATAATTCCCAGTTGCAGACCATGTGCAATTCAGTAGTAAATACTGTTAAACTATCCAAAACTGCCATATTTCTAACCTCCCTTTTCTCTATTGGTTTGGTTTTTTTTATGATTGATGTTGCCCAAAGCCTGCATGCCAAGCTCTTAAAGGCAGGATCTGTTTAGGTCTACTTACAATCCTTAGAAAATACCAAAATACAAAGCAAAGATCATCTTAATAGTAAGAGATTGCAAGTACTGATTTATTTGTTGTAGGGCCTAAAAAGTATAGGCAAGTAAAAATAGTATCATTCTACATCATTGAAAATCATGAAATAAAAATGTTTTTCATTGTGCTTCATGCCATATGGTAAGTCCTAAGCAGAATGAAACTTCTGCTTCTTGTGCAGATTGCTGAGGAAACATTCTCTGGGATAGGATTTATCAGTTGGGGTTAACATCATCCTGGCCACTGCATTCTCATCAGATCTCAGAGCTGGCCTCTTAATCAGCTATTTCCCAAAATATTAGTTTATTTAGTTCTATTAGTTAGCAAAATACACAGTTTTCTGCTGCATCTTCTGTCTCCAGAATTGTTATATGACTGCATTAAAGTCACAGCCCTCAGTTCAGGGTTGAGCAGTTTCTGAGCCTAATTCAAAGTTACTATAGTGCCCTTTGGTCTTTGTCTTGATAGGCTTTGCTGGCATCAGGTACCGAAGGTTCTTCCAAAATCTGGAATTCACGGGAAGAGATTTATCTTTTTTCCATTTCACCACCCTTTTTGATGGTAAAAGTGACAGTGATTCTGGCAAGAAATTGTAGTCACTTATAGGCATATATTCAATTAATATGATCTTAGTTTTTCTTTCAACTAGGGCTTTATGCAGTCCACTCTCAAGTTCATATATGGCTCTGTCAGAAACGTAGTTCTGGCTCAGTATAATGATTAATCTTCTGCTTTTATCAATGAATGAATGGATATCATCAACAAGTGCTGCAAATTAGAGATAAATTTATTGTTATATTAAATTGAAAGGATAGGGACCAAATCAAATTATCTTTTAAATTCACATATGTACCAAAAATGTGGACATTTTTATGTTAAAAAGTGACAGAGTGTAAGCATCCTGTCCTTATGAAGAGATCTCCATCTACCCTAGACTGCTGTCTGGCAGTAGTCACATGGACAGAAGGCAACAGCAAAATTAACTTTCCCCCAGCAAGACATCTCTTTGCTCTTTCCTAATAGATACCATTGGAGTGATTCCACAGAAAGGCACAAACAGCAACTTCTCTCCAAGTATTTTGTAACCCTGGGGTTACACCTTCCTTTATGACACCAAACACCCAAATCTATTTCCAGTAATCCAGGCTGAGAAGACCAGCATGCGATGACAAAAGGAGTTCCAACTATGTTTCAGATTGATGACTTTTGGTATGAAAAGTGATGAATGAAAGTGAATGGAGATACCTTTTAAATATCAAATTGAGTTTTCATTAACAGCTTCCAGTGCTTGTTTTAACACCATGGGACAAAGTCTACATAAACCAGAGATCTAGAAAACATGACTTGTAGAGAAAGGCAAAGCAAACTGCAGAACTAACCTAATGAAGAGAAAACTGCAGGTAAAAGGAGGCTGACAAGTGTATTACAACACCAAAGGCTCCCATACAAAGAAGGAAATATTCTATTTTACATGTTCACAATGGATCAGACCAGAGAAAATGAAATAAGCTAAAACTATTGAAAGAATCAGACTGCACACTTCAGTAAACAATTTTTTTAATACTTAAAGAATAAGAATAGGTAAGAAGAAAGGGCTCAGAAGAGCTGTGGCTCCTCTCAGGATAGAAACATTTGTCAGGAACGGATATAAAGAGACAAGATCCTGCTTAATGAAGGAGGCTTACTGATCCTATTGTTCTGTGGTTTGAACAATGAAATTCTATTTCTCACCTGGATCTTTGGACTAAAAGGAAATTCATAGTACCTTTTATCCAAGCACTCATTTCATTCAGAAAATGTTTTGTTATGGCACTCGCTTCATTCAGAAAATGGTTTCAACCATCACGCTGAAGATACAGCAAACATACAATTACCTAAGAATAACTAGAGTCATCAGCTGCTTTGTGCAATAAATGTGAGTGCATTCATTGGCCCTCAGCAAAAACAGAGCAAAAGCACTATTACTGGGAAATATGTGATATCTTCTGTGTCCTCACCTTAACCTTCTTCATGCTTGCTCTTTGATCTTTCATCTTGATTTTTTGCAATTAGTGATTTATGTGTGCATGTGTAAGTGTATATGAATTCATAAACATAACTATAAAACATGTAAAATGTTTGCAACCAAACTTTGCATGCACACAGTCCACATTGAATGAAGAATACAACCTTTCAATGCACAACACATGACAGAATTCCTTCTAATTAGAGACTTCTACCTGTGTGTGAAAATGATGAGCCTATTTAACGACAAGAATATTCAATACACTTACCTCCTCCAGGGAATACATCCCTTTCAAATATACATAACTTGTACCCAAAGTTTTCTTCTAATATCATGGGCAACACCTTCAAAGCAAATTCTCTCTCTTCTTCAGTAGGAGAAACACAGTCTTTCAGGTAAGACACAAATGCATCATATTCTTTTCCATCTGAAAATAAACCAACAATTTATTGTTATCTACCATTAGAAATCCAGTATCTGATTCACCATTCTGGTTTTCAAACTTAGTGTCTCAATGGTACAACATCTAGAAACCCCTGATCTTTCTCCTGAAGGTTCTGAAGAGTCTTCAAACACTCTTCATCAGATTGAAAAAAATGTCCTGAAGAAATTTAAGGTTGATACAAAAGATTCTGATTGCATTTGGAGAATACTTGAAAATATTTCCTTTCTACATTAAGGTGCTTTTTAAATAAAATCAGATAAATTTAACCAATTAATGTCACTGTGAAAATCAAGATATGAAGGGAAGCAATAAAGGTGTCTGTGAACTGAAAAAATTGCTATTTAAGTGATGTTGCAGATTTTAACATTTATTGTACTCTGTGTCACAGAGTATCAAGTGGAATGGGTACTGGCAAAAGAGAGAACAAACCAGTTAATTATTTTTGTTATGAACGTATGCCATGTCTGGTCTTGGTTGGGGCACTAATTTACAGACAGAAAATCAAAGACCAATCCAGAGGCCAGGTTACCCACACTGCCACAGAGCAACTATCAGGATTGATGCACCAGCACACGTGGCTTTGCTTCTTAAACTGCACTTCTTTGCTTCCCTTTCTGAATACTTTACTGCATGTAGTTCATAAGAGAGATCACAAATAAACACCATGAAACCCCACACCTTCAAGAGCTCTAGGAACAGGAAATCCGTTGCCTAGTATCCAACAGGCAGCTCCTCCTGGGCAGCATAATCCAGGTTCTCAGAGATCCCTGAGTGAGTGTAAGCCACTCTGGTAGCTGACATCAACAAGTAAATAAGAACACTGGCAGGCATAAATGACATCCAACCATTATCCAAAAATCTCCAACTATTGCAGTTTATTCAAGTTATATTCAAGCTGATTTAGAGGCCAAGAAAGGTCAAGAAGATCAGACCCATATATACAGCAAGTTTTGTCACCACTATTTTCAGAAAAATTGTTCCTAAAATTGAGTAATTGTCAGGTTTGCTTGCTGTGAAGGTCAGAGAGCTGCTGCCTGGTAAGATACTGGCAATGTGCACTGCTGCTCTCCTTACGTGCATGTAGTGACAAACCTATAAGCATGCAATGGCCTCTAAAGTCAAAGAAATATTTTAAGCTTCACCTCACTGAAGGGCATCAGTGAGGTGAAAATGAATTTGTGTCAGTCTGCCCATCTGAAAACTCCACAGTGTTCATCCTCTTAATGGATAGACGAAAACCTCTCCACCCCATCAACTTTTGTGAGGAAGAATATGGCAGAAGAGAGCTCATCTGAACAGCATCCAAACACATCCCTTTCACTGCCTGCTCCCGAGGCAGCTTTTTCACTGTGTTTATCTGCTCTCATTGCCACACATATACCACAAACACACGTTAGCACCTGACCATCAAGTTCTCTTTCATATATTCTTTCTTGCTTCTCACACTACTGGATTTAAGATTTTTATTTTATCTTCCTCAAAGCTGATTTTTTTCATAGAACCTGTCAGAAAATATTTTTCATCAATATGCTTATTTCAATGTTAGCATTAGCAAAGTCATACCTCCAGCAGTATCATCTCTCCTGCAAATATTTCTGTAAAATAGAACAAAGTCCACCCTAAACATCACAACCACAAACACCACAGCTACAGCAACAAATGGAAATAGCAGAGCAAGGACCATTCCAGTGGTAAATATGTGCACTGGCAAGTCTTGAATCTTCCCTGTAAAAGAGAAACACAGTATTAACAAAAAGTATTATATAACAAGATTACTGTATCAAATACTCATGACACCTAAAAATCACCTCAGAAAATCACAATGTTGATGGGAATCCTTTCCTGCTAATTCTTCAAGCACGTATGCATGCCACACTAAGATAAACTATAAAACATGTTTTACTGCAAAAACAGGAGAAACAATATTGGACACAATCACATACAGTTCATTTGTGTGTGTGTGCAGGGTCTGTGAGATCAAGACTGACATTACAGATCCTCACAGATGTACAGCATCCCAAAATGATGGTCACTCACTTTGGTGAAGTTTCCTTCAGGTTTTTTGTTATTTCCTATTATCTACCTTTCACCCCTCTCTCAGTCCCATGCATAAGTCCTTAATGTCCTATTTAATATATTTGGCCAAGACACTTTTGCTTTTTTTCTCTAGTCTCTTTCAGACCTTTCTTCATTACTATTATTATCATTATTATCATTATTAATATTTGAGAGTTTTAGTTCCAAATACAAACTTTTAGCACTTAAATCTTTCTGAAGTTTTTACAAAGGCATTCTCAAGACATGCTCATTGTAGTCTGTATTTCTTTTGCTTTGCACTGCTCCTGTCCCTGTCTGAGAGCAGGAGGAATCACCCAGGGTTGTTAGGTCCAGCACTAGGTGTGTGAGGGCCTTCATAAGCAGACAGTATTTGGAGCAGTGTTTCAAAAGGCCCTCAGGATTGAGAAGGCTGATTAACAAATTATTTCTAGATTATGCCATACCTTTCTTCAGTTTTACTATTTTTATCTGTGTGCTTTCATCAGCTTGCAACATGCAGGTGAAATTATGATGCATGTCCTCATCTCTTACTTTTTTAATCCGTAGTAGCCTTGTGATATAGAACTTATTTCCCAGCCTGCAACAAGGAATGGTGTTAGCAACACTATCTGTACAGAAACCTACAACCACCTGAGAGGCAGATTTTGAGGAAAAGTTTCTAGAGAAAACCCTCAGACTGTGGTTTGTACTGAATTTGCAGTCCCACAAAGTGTAGGACATTGTCGCATATAAAATACAACATTTTCAGGAAACCTACTGTAGTGTTTTGAGTTCTTCTTCACATATTGAAGGTTCATTCTCAGGGATACCTGTGCATTGTTCTGGAAAGGTTTGGTTAATTAACCAGTAGAGGCTGGCATCTTCTCGCATATAATAACCCAAGGAACCTGTGCAATTGAGTATCTCTTCTTTACCTGCAAAGAAAAAAAAAAGAAAAAAAAAAAAGAAAAGAAAAGAAAAAAAAAACATAACATGGGAAGATTTAGTGAGAAGTAGTATTCATGTACTTCTTTACTTCAGTGCAGTTATGTGTCAGCTTTCCAGGAAACATATCCTATAAGCTGTGCTCCTTTCTAAATTCTAATAGCCCCTGCTCAATGTTTTATAGTTGTTACACCTGCACTGGTAGTAGCCTCAGCAATCATGCACTGCTGCAGAGTGACAGTCATCCATTGCTTTCTTTGAGATAAATCATCAAAGCCAGGTGGGTTTAAATAGACTTGAGAATTTCACTCTTTAGAGACCTAAAGGGAATTGGACTTGATGATCTTTATGAGTCCCTTCTACCTGAGATATTCCATGATTTCATAAACCAGACTGTGTGCTGCAGGCTGAGAAGAGAAGAGGAAAACCTATCACCAGTGCTTCAGGGCCAGGTAAAAGTAAGTAACTGGTAAGGGGAATTACAGCCAACTAATTGTAATAGGGAAACTATATATGATTACTCAACAAAACCAAAGCCCCTGTTGAACGTGCACAGAAGCAATTCTTATCTCAGTATCACAACTGGAAATTCCTGAATACATGAACAAGTCATTAACTCAGTCAGCTACTTGTCTCATTTCAAAGCACTAAGTGTAACTGACAGGAACCACCTCATAAAGTTCCAACAGTTTTAAGAAATTGCAAAACTGAGTGGAAAAAATAAGGGCAGAAGACTGCAGCTCTGGAATGTGAGATTTTTTAATACTGTCAAGGGAAGCTTGATCTGAAGCTAGCTGCAACCACAGTTTCTAGGCCATTGCAACATCATTTCGGAACACATCCAGAATGCTCTTTATTAAGTCAGGAAAAATGCATGTTATTTCTTCTTCAGACCATCATGCACAAATACTTTCCAGTAAGCAAGGCCTACCCAGCAATTCTCCAAGAGTACACAAAGCTTCTCAAGACTTTTCAGGTACTTCTAGAGCCTTCAAAGCAAGAGCCAGCTGAAAAACTAGCCATCATAGATTCAGACCTTAGAAATCCAAATTACAGTTGCACAGACCTAACCTAGTATCATTGGCTTGCAACTCTAGCATTTCCACCTCATACAACAGCTATTTGGAGGCAAATATAATAGTGCACCATCCTAAACAATGATAGGTTTTAAAGACCATAGACCTGGCTCATCCTAAATTCTCTTCACTCTCCACCATGCCATCTGTCTCATCACTCAGCAGGTAGTTCAATGACCTTATCAAATGACCTTATCAAGGGGTGGAAGACAGATCATAAGCATTTGATGCCAAACCCTGCTAACTTCTAAGGGCTGGGACAAGCACAGCAACGAGGAGGAAATGTGTAGGAAGGGCATCATAGCACTGGGGTACTACCAGTGGGAAAAGGATTTACCAAGCAGTACTGGTAGGAAGGAAGGAAAATTAGCATCTAAGGTCCTAGATGAGTAAATGAGATATAGGTATGGGCCACAGAGGAAGTAAGACTTTGAAAGGAAGGATCAGGTAACGAGGAGAGGAGAGGAGAGGAGAGGAGAGGAGAGGAGAGGAAAAAGACTGTTATATTTCTGTTCTCAAAAATTAATTACAGCCTCAATCACAAAATCCTAGATCCTGTCCAAGGCTGTGAAGCCTGCAGATCATTTCATCTAACGTACTTCTAGCTAGAGACACAGGTAAGATTTCTTGACAATACAGATGTACATGCACATATTGCCAGGACTGCCACACCTCACACTCCTCATTTCCCTGAAGAATATCATTGTCAGCCACATCAGGTATCAGTGGGATTGCTCATTACTGCTGTGCACTGAGTAAACCATACGTCTTTCGCACATTGCTTCATGGGGTTTGCTATCTACAAAAGAAAGCCATGGAGAGATGTTTTATCACCACCACCTTCTCTTGCAAGCTGTAGCAGCAACCTCAGCATCTGCGTCTGTGAAAGGGTACATTTAGTGTACTTGTGTATCAATCATGGAATACACCAGGCAGAACATTACCAGATGTGAGGTTAGATCACATACAGGATGATGCACTGACAATTATTTTGATTACACTTATCCAGACCATCAACCACAAAGAAATCAGAACAAAAGTATGTAGGTAGAGTAGCTACATCAAAGATTTTTGTATTAATTTCATACCTATTTCTGTTTCAAATTTTTCATGAGTTCCAAGTATCTCCAAAGTGAAAGCCTCCGGTGCATCTAAAACAGAAGAATTATTATTGAAGTGATACTTCACTTATGTTTTCCACAGAAAAAGTTACATAATTGCTCTACATATAAAATCAATCACAAACATTCCATTTAATTCACAGAGCAATATCTGGGTTCTGGCTCACATACATATAGATACAGAGTACAATTTGCAGTAGTTGGAAAAGCTCTTGTGCAAAATTCTTCGTAAGTTTGTATGACTTATTTAGAGCAGCTAGTTGGAAAAAAAAAACTGCAGGGAAAACATACTAAATACATTTTCCAAAACTGGTAATATTTCATCCTAACTTTTACTTTTTTACTTCTCAAATTATTCTGAAGTAGTTCAGATTACCAGAATTTTCCCCCAATATATATTTATTAAATGAGAACTGCAATTTAAAATCTCCTTAGTAAAGTGAACCAAAAAGTATGTTTCAAAATTTTAGAAAGCTTTCTTACCTTCTTCTACTACAAGTTTAATTGTATTTGTGCTGTGGTATATTGTTCCTTCATGACTGATTAAGATTTTACAGGTATATATCCCAGAGTTCTGTACTGTTAAGGCTCTAAAATTTAGTTCCCTCTCTGTTTCATGTTCATAATTCTTACAGTCCTGCATCAATAAAACCAGAAAATACTAGTCTGTGGCAAACATGCATTCAAAATATTAAAGAAATTAAGATTTTGTTTTTAAAACAGTGTCACCATCACCTTTTCACTATCTCAATGACATGTGTCTGACCCAAAAGAGGTGCAGGCCCAATTTTCATTCATGGTCACTTAAATGCAACATTTGAACATTTAACCCATTAGAAGCTGAGAACACTGCAACTGAGGAAAACATAACAACCTGTGGCCCTATCCATCAACGGTCCCATCCTCCCAGGCCCCGAAAGACAAGAGAACAGGGCTGTAGCTCATTCTTCCAGGCTACTCCAGATGCCTGTACTAAATCAGTCAAAATCCCTTCCTGAATCTGATTGACCTTGGAGTGGTCAGGGTCTGTTACTCCAACCAGGAGACCTGAGAGGAATAAGGAGTACACCCCAAAGAGATGATTTGCCAAAAATGAACAGAACTGGATCTGTTACACACTTAAAAACCGTTCAGAGACAGCAAAATTGAGAAGTTTGCAATTACTTTGCAAGTACATGCCAACTGTAAAATAAAAATCTTGGCATCTCATTTAGCATTGCTACAATATCTGTATCAGCAAAGTAGCAGCTGGCTAAACCAGCTGCTGCCAAAATCAGCAAACAGACATGCACATCAGATCTTTTATCTTCCCAAACTACTAGTTTAATAACTTCTGAAACAGGTATTTTTTAACAAATTGGAAAGCAGACAAAAGCTTTGTTTTGTGTATCTGTCTAAAGATTTTCCCCCTAATCCCATGAAAAATTAAAGCTTTACAATGTTTCTAGATGCTTCTAAAAATTTGTTTGCAATTAATATTTCCTGCAATCAGATGTTTTGTTTCTACAACCAATGATTTGAGGGACACTGTTTCAGTAATTACCTTATACCATGTTATGCTGTCATTTTCATAGACAGACAAATCGCTGCATTTCAGTGAATGACCAGTTCCAGCACTTTTAATTTCTGTAGTTAAATGATTTTCATTGAAACAGCTGCTTTTATTTCTTTCAAGTACATTCAGTGTCCACTTTTGAATTGTGGCATTTTGTTTTCCATTGCTAAGAAAAAAAAATATAACAAAATCAGTTTTAGGAGCTTTCTTAAATAATGCAGCTTGGTGAGTTACAAAACAAAAATAAATTCTCAAATACATCTGTTAGGTAAAAAGTACATCTACAGTGACCCAATTACTTTTATTTCCCTTTATCACTTTCCCACTCCCAAATAAGTGTTATTTCCTTTAACCAAACAGGTTACCTAAACTAAATGCACTATCACAAAACATTTGACAATACAATTATGTCTATGGAACGTGACAATATATCCTACATCGACCTGAACAAGGATGCAACCATCTGTGACATCATCCATAGTTACATGAGACCATCAAAGAATTTTGGACCTTGAATCAGCTAAGATTTTGCAGGTTTAATTTCCTACGTGTTGCTAAGATTAAAAGCCATGACAGAAAAATATATTTCTAAAATTATAAATAAGATAGGTCATTGTTATTTAGATAACTACTAGGGTCTATCCATATACTCCTTGAAAGAATCAGATCATAGCTGGAATTTCACTGTTTGATATATCCAAATACATGACTACCAAGGGAAAGGAACCTGAAGAACTTTTATTTGGCAAAGTTAGAGCTTAAGAGAAAGCCATATGCCGCTGTCAGTTAGTGGGTGAGATTCTGTCAGTTAATGGGTGAGATTTTGCAATTAGTGCATAGAGCTCTCATTTGTTTTCTGAACAAGCAGGGCCTGACAAAGGAAAAGCAGCAATCATAGAGAACTTCCCTCCAATGTCAGTCATGTTTTCATAAATATGTTTGAATCTTTCTGCCTCCAAGAAAAGAAAAATAAATTTCTTCCAGAACTGCAACTAGTCAAGAATTGTTTCAATGAGAAAGTCCAAGAGGACAAAGGACTTGGAATGGAGAAGCATCCCTGGTGAGTATATCAGCTTAAACACCATTCTTGACATGTCTTTTGAGTTTACAAGATTCAGAAGAGCTATTAGGACATCATTTTTATGTTGAATTTAACCAAGTATCGGGTTGTTTCTTTTCTGCTTTTTAAATTCCCCAAACAAATATATTTATGTATTCTCCTCACCCTCTTTGCATCACAGCCCTTTTTCAAGCTACACAGGTTCTCTACACACTTGAGATGTTCATTACGCCTAATTGTAATTGACTTTTTAAACTAAAGCATAGTGGTTTTGGTAAATCAGCTAACTATGCTGTCACAAACAGGAAAAGCTTTGCCAAAACTTTTCCAGTAGAGAAAAGCTCATACGGCTATTCACAGTGCTTCTCACCTATTCTTCAACATCTTATTTACACATTTAAATCAGAGCTTATAATCACACTCAGCAGTGGCACCGCACTCAGAAATCTCCCTGTTACAGTGCAGTTTATACGACCTATTTTACATATTTTTGTTTGGGACAAGATCACCTGTGACCCAGAAAGGCCTCTCCCTCCCTGACAGTAAAGGTACCCAAGATAATGTTTATGTCTACACCTACCTAGGTGTAGCCATAAACATTAATTCCAATTAATTCCACTGAGTCCATGTGTTTCTTTAGACAACACTCTACTAATCTGAATACTGTCAGAGAATTAATTACAGATCTAGCCATGAAATGCAAATGATTTTACTCTCTAGATTCAGCAGATGAAAGAAAAGGGTCTATAAAGCCACATGTTACTGTTACTCCACAGAGGCTTTCTTCTGTGACCCTATCATCTGGGGAAACCACCCAAAGTGGATCAAGATATTCTACCCGATGAGCCAAAATCTGGCAAGAGAATGTCCCTGGAAGGTATTAAAACCATACCAGTGCAAACAAGGATGAATTTTTTCATACATAATTTCTAGTTTTCTGCCATATATCATGGTTTTCAACACACACACACACACAAAACCATTTAGTTGCATTTTTAAACTCCTAGTGTCGGAATTGTTATACCTTTTTATCCTGGTTTTCACTTGTTGTGAGTCCTCAGGGTTATTTTGTCAGGAACAAAACTGTTTCTGGTTTAACAGCTTTTCAATCTCCCCCCCCACAAACCCACCAAGACGGAACAACAAAATCTAGCTTGATTCAGAAGATGATAAAGGGAAGTGAAAGCCCTTAGAGAACATAAACCAAGCTTACTGGATACAATCTCTAAGTTATTTTACTACAACAAGCCAGTGTTATTTCAATATTGCAGTCTTCTGCAGACACTGTCACTCTGCTTTCCAAATTGCAGTATTAACTCTACATGTATGTTCCCACCGCTTTCAGTTGTTCTAAACATACTGAAAAATTGAGCAATATTTGGATTTTAAAATTTATAATGTGTTTATCATGGTTCTCTGTAGCTTTTTGGTTTTTTCAGTAACCTCTAAGTTCTCTCAGTTTCAAAGTTACCAAAATAGAGCAATCTGATGACCTGCTTTTTTATATTCTGTTTTTCTCTTTGACAACCACAGGATACAGGCTGTAAAAAAACCCCATAGAAATTACAAATCTTTCCAAAGACCTGTGACACAGTTTTTGCTGCTTACCACACTTACTCTAAGTACAATTTTTATTTTCAAGAATGATCCTGAAGATGGACACATTCAGGCCTATAGGTGATGTCCATTGATTCCTGAGTTTGTATCCTAAGTCTAGTATACTAACAAAGACACGTGAGCATGTCAACACACAGATATGCACGCTTCAGCTATCTAGGTATGTCTCAGCAGGACACATAAAACTTCTGATTCCTCTTTAAGCAAAAAGAAGTGGTTAAAACATCATAAAAACATAGTTACATTACTTTCGCCTCTTTATTCTTGCATATTGTCAGTTGTAACATATCAGAAAAAAAATTCCTACATTTAATTAGTCTGCAAAATCTGTCAATGTGTTGTCTGCTTTTCTTGAAAATCTGCAGTATATGTAATTGTCACATTGTTCCCTGAAACTGCCTAAACAGTTATAAGTATTCTGAAAATTATTTCCCATGTACCTTACAAACACCTAACTCTAAATTAAATAGTTGAAAATTAAAAATAGAAATAAAAATATAATTAGCATCTCTTCTTTCACAAGTAAAACTTTTAACATACTACAAATACTCTGAAATTAAAGTAATTCCACTAAGTCATTCTTATTAAATCTTAAATAAGTTCAGTAGCCCACAACAGCCCACAATTTTTTGCTACAGAAACTTCTAAAAGTCCTCTGTTTCTGCAGAAAACAGTTTTTGCAATAATCTTCTGTATTTACTGAAATATAACTCATTTAATATGCCTGCCAATAGTGAGAACCATCATATAAACAAAGCCCAAGATCCCATCAAAATCCCATTAAAAAATCCCCTTATGCCAATTGTTCCAGCAGTGAGACCTGTGAAGAACTCCCACAGGAGGATTGCCAGATTCTGGCATCATTCTCATCCTAACAGAAAGAAATTTAAAAATTGGAAAAAAAAAAAAAGTGCTTGTTTCAACTTTTTTTTCTGAGTTTCTCTCTAAAGCAAATGATAAAATCAAAAAATTTCATAAAGGATTCTGACACTTTTGTGTTTTCCAACAATTACTCATTTTAGCAAACTTCATTCTAACAGTTTTATTTCATTCTTTATTTGTCATCTCCGTCTTCTGTACGTGAGGCTGTTTCCTTCAGTTTTGGTGTTTACACTTTTTTATAGTAATTTTGTAGAATTCTTGTGATTTACTGTCATTACCCAAGTCCTTAAAGTGATCAGAGAACCACAATAACCGTGAATTGAGGCTGGGGTTATCACAGCTCTCTTCTCTTTGGCCCTTTAATGAGTATTTAGGGCTCATTATGGCAGTCTCCTTCAGAAGCCTGGCAATTCAGGTATGACCTCCACCTACCTTTCCCCATGCCAAAATTAGTCAGTCTGCACTTTGTGATACTAATTAGGTGGCATTGGAGTGAGTTTTTACATTTAATAGCTTTTTTGTGAAGTGACCATACAGAAAACAGATCCGCACAACAAACTAGACAAACTACCACATTCATCATCCCCAAGGAAAACCCTCTTGAATTTAACATAGATGAATAAATTTTTTCTCAATATTTATCCCACAATTAAAAATACATTGAATTTCATATACAATGAGTCAATATTTTTAAAATAATATCAGTAATGAGATAACACTAATGATACATGGAAGAATTAAAAAAAAAATGTTTTCAGCTTCCAAGTTGACTTGGAAGTTAACAATTGTACTCTACCTTAGAACTGTAAAATATCAAACTTGAGTCCGCAATATTTCTGGGAAAACATGGAGAGCATTTTTCAGTATCCACAGACCCACACCCTTATAAAGCTGGCTAGAACCCTAAAAATATTACTTAGAGAACAGCACAAATCATTACATGCAAGGTGATCTGCTTCAAATTAATTATTGCTTCAATTGTAAATGCTGAATTATGGGTTTAGTGCAAGTTAGTCATAAGAACTCCGTGCAGCAAACCTTGGATTTAGTCCCTATCAAGGTATTCCAATGAAGAACGCCACCAAATAATGGAGGGCCATCCTTATTTCTCCTTTTTACCCATGGTGTTCTACAGCAGTAAGAAATCAAATCCAATTATTTCATTCGTTCTTTGAATGGCTTCATGCAGGCAAAGGTTTGCGCAGAAAGCAGAGTTCAGCTATGTTATGTTTAATCTTTACTATACACTTAGGTGACTTGGCAAGCTTTATAGCATGAGATCCACTCAGCACAGCAAGCAAGAACAAGTCTGGGGAAGAAGACAAGCAAATGCTTCCTTTTTCTTGTCAGTGGACAGAAGGGTTGCCTGACACTCATTTTTCTTAGGTAATTAATCACAAGCCAGCAAAAATGCTGCCTGCCTTATCAAAAGGTTTACAGAACATTTAAAAGGCTGAAACTCCTTATAGATATTTGTAAATATCACAGGTCTACCTTGATAGTTGTGAAATGAAGTGGGAAATAACTCTGCAGTTAATGCAGTTCCCTAAACCACTTTTATGTGGATGCCACTAGCTATAGAAAACAAGACAAAGAAATTATCTTCATCATAGACATATGAGCAGGCAAGACATTTACCCACTGTGTTGTGTACCCACCTGTGAATGACAGAGTAATTCCCAGAGTCACTGAGTTCAGCTGGCCAAAATTCCAGAAGGTTCATTTGTGAAACAATTCTGCGTGTTTCCTTTATCACTTGCTGCTTTCCAGCACTTTCTTTGTACCAGTTTATTGTATACGCTTCTGCCTGAAAATGTTCTTGCCTTGACTCAAGGTAACAAAGGAAAAAATATTCCCCTTCTAGAACATCAATGGAGGCACGAATGGGACACAGCTTCCCTTAAGACAATGGGGAAAAAAGATATATTAAGAAGCCATTATTTTATTATTTCAGAAAATTGCATTAGCCTGACTTTAAAGTGATTTGCTATGCTGATGGCATGTTATAAAAAAAACTTCTTTCAGCAAAATTGTTTGGCAGCATTCGTGTATTTATTCCCGCAATATTTACTAAAAAAATCAGCCTTTTCCAAGCCTTTATTCTATCTTACCAAAGCAACACCAGAAGAAAAAGGGGACTGAAAATAGAAGGACATTTCCCTATCTCTGTGATTCTTTCACGAGTTCCACAGTGTCAGAATCTCATTGGCTCAAAGGGCAGAATCTGGCCTCCCTCTACAGTAAAGCAGCTGTCAGAAATGGAATAGGAAAGGAGAAATTCTTCACATATGGTTTGACTTAACAAATATGTTTGAGATAAAAGCACAGATCCTATAAATTAACACATGCGTTTCCTTATCTTCTTAATTAAAACTGAATCATTATGTAGATACATTTCTGAAAAACTTCAGATATCTTTGGAAAACTGCCTTGGAATGGGATTATGTGTGTAAAATTTAGTCTTCAAGTCTGCCTTTCCAAAAAGTTTCCCAAATTTACTTTTGAATACGGAAGTTAGTAAAAGTACGGAAAAGGAACCATGATCAAGATTAAGAGTCAAAAATAAAATCAGCCTTCATTCTCTCTTTCTCCTGAGGTTCTCAGAGATTATTGTTGTTTAGCAACTATGGTGACCACACTTCTGAATGGCATAAAAAGAAGCAGACTCTTTCTTTCGTTTGCCATATCTCTTCATACAGTCATGGCCATATACAACATCATCAGGTTTCTCCAGGTAGCATCCTTGCTTTTTCATTTCATAATTTTGGTGTTTAGGACCAAATTTCCCAAGTCTGGAGCTGGGCTGTAATTGCCAAACCTTTAAGTTTTTGTTCTTGTCTGCAAAAAACAAAACTTGTCCTACTCCAAAACTTGTCCAACTGTCAAGAAGCTGGCACATATTTTGAATGTTCTATTATTGAATTGAAGACTTTTACTTACCAGTGGCAGATTCCATGATCAATATTACCAAAAAAATCATCAGAGTCATTTTCTTGAGTTACTTCTCTCTTCTTCTCCAAAAAAATGCAATTGAATTGCTCCTGCTTGTTCTGAAAGCTTACAAAAAAAACAAAAATTCACAGTTCACCACAAGTCCAGTGAAAGAGATTTCTTTGAGCATGTGAGCAGTGTAACTACTGCCTGCTGCTGAAATGGGAAGCTTTCCAAATGGGAAGCTACATATTTTTATCATAACAGCTATTTTCATACATCAGGTAGTGTATCTAGATTTTTCTTCGCAATTTCATTTAAATTCAGAAAACACTACAGGATTTCCTTGTTCTATTTTCTTATTTAATGGATGCATTTTGCAGTATTACAAGAGCACTCAAATCCTGAGCCAGCAGATACCTACCACAGGACAGGACAGTGCTTTTTTTTTTCCACAACGAGAATAAACTTTGCAAGACTGGACCTTGTAGAAACAGCCAGTGGAAACTTCCCTTGCCTTCAATGAGAACAGAACAATGTTGTAGATTGGATATGTTGATGGCTAACTTTGAGCCTGTTGGAAAGCAATGGGACATGTAATTTCTTTCACAATTTGATCTTTAGGGGCAATGAGCTCCAGCTGAGAGTGCTAACATTTCCACTGTGGGGGAGGACAAGAAGCAGCCTATATTCAGTTGCTTCATGTGCAGTCAACTGATTTCAAAGGCAAGTGGAAAACACCACTAAGTAAGACTGGCTTGGAACCTCTTCTGAGGTTCCTCAGAACAACAGGTTAACTGACAACTAAAGACAGAGCTACTCCTGAGACTCAGCCTCTGTTTTGCTTACAAAACAGACAGGTGAGATACACAGTCAGTTCATTTCAAAGCCTGAATCCAAAACAGATAACCTTGCTTAGTGTGACCCAGACATGGATGGACAGATGAGACAAACACACACAAGATGTATTTCAGAGATCTGAGAGATCTGCCAGAAAAAGTCTCAATAGCAATCCATTTATTTTTTATTGGGTAAACCTGATGCAATTTGAGAGAACACAAACTTTAAGAGACTGCTGTAAGATTTAGAGTCAGTCAGAAAGTTCCTGTGATCTGAAGAGTCTGGAGGCAGGAGGCTACTGCATTTTCAGCAGTATTGCAGGACACCAAACTGGGTAGCTGCCTTCCCTCTCTTACCTTTCTCCTCTGCTCTTTACAAGTGTGCCATCATCCCTTAAAGCACTGCAAGGAGATGAAGGAAGTATTTCACATCCCTTTTTAAGATGGTCTTGTAGGCAGATCCAGATTTAGAAAGCTAAAAGAATCTGGATGGTGAATATTGCAACACACAATTTCAGTTCCTTATTATACATGGTGATTCAAACTCCTACACTTCATAAGGAAAGAAGGGTCTCTCTTTTTCATTTCTTGATTTTTGCTTTCCTTTTCTTTCCTATCACATTCAGAAGAAATACAGCTGTTAGAGACTACAAGACTAAGGCCCACTACATAAAGATAGAATCATTTAACACCAAATTTAAAATTCTAAATCCACTTCTTTTTTGGTACATCAAATCAGCACACAGTGGAAGGTTGGTTGAATGCACAAAATATAATGGAAGCAACTTAGTAATGACCAGGTCTGAGATTCATGGCTTCTAAAAATCAAGACACAAGACCTTAATGTTACTCTCTCACTGCTGCTGAACCTGATCTATTTGACTGAAATTGTTCTACTGTAGGCTAAAAAATTTGAGCCATACAGTTTGAGTACTCTTCAATGAAAAGTTAGGAGGGAGGAAAAAAGGTGAAAAAAAGAAAAGTGCTTTTAGTGAAAGTCAGCTAATCCAGAGAGAATCTTTGAGAAACATAATAAGATTTTTAATTTTCAGAAAAAATTGAGACATTTTAAAGTAAAAGCAAAGATTCTCTACCTAACAAAGGAGTATAGAAATACTAATGGGCAAAATTCTAAGGCAATAGAGGGAAATGGCAGTTTCAATGAAAATTGATTAAATTACAAGTTGTCTATAAGGCTTAAACTGACAACAGCTTTAAGCATTTTTTTATGTTTTATACATGTTTAATTGATGGAGTTTTAATAATAAAATGTGGTTCTTAAAAAAGCTTGTGCCACTGTGAAACCAACAAAAACTTCAAACAAATCAAAAGTTTAAATTCTGTAAAGTGGATTACCAATGTCTCATGAATTAGAAAAACATGTACCATTAAAATTAATTCCCACTTTTCAAGAATGACCAGAAGATTTTTGAATGAAATTGGGCTGATACACAGAAGTGATTGATCTTCAATTTTGGACAAGTAACTAATTTTGATCAACAATTTTGGAAAACTCAATTTGGTCCTGAAGGGTTGTGGCTTCCTTTTTAAAAAAAAAAAACCACAACAGATTCTTCTGAACATGAGACAGTTCTAAACATCATCTTGGGGTCAAGGAAGGAAAGCACTCATCTTTTCTCTTTAAGAACAGCTTCTTATGGAATTCAAGTATTTTTAAGTATTACCACACAGTGCCATAATTTGCGCAGCATTGGTGAAGAAAACAAAAATGTTTAACAAACAGTTGTCTTAACCATACTAGATCCAAGCAGCATTCCGCCAGGATTGCAGTTTCTTGGTAAAAATGAAAATCTGTCTTAATTTCAAAGAACATAAACAAAGCTGTTTACTTACTATGCAAATCTTGACAGGTGGAAAGTGGATGGAGTCTTCCAAAGCCCAGAGAGTTTCAATTTGAACTTACAACTCTTCTGAATCTCATTCATAATTGAAACAGAGAGTTGTCTCTCTCAGCAAGTGAGTCAATACATAGATATTTCAGTTTGAAAAACCTTCTGAGGAGGGAAAAGAGAACTGTTGATTGCAGGAAAGAAAACGGAAAAATATGTGAGAAATTCATTTCTGCTAGCATTAATGGAAAGTTAATAGCAAGCCCTTAATATAAATTTTTTTCTAAATGAGGCATTTGAGAGCTGATACATCAATGTTTTAGGCATAATCTTTTGCTCCTACCACTTACAACAGCACTGAAGGAGCCCATCCTCTTCCAAATCCACCCAGGTACGAGGAAAAGGGCTGAGGACAGCACAGAGATGGTGACAGGGGCTGTATGTTGAAATAAGCCGTTTTCAGGGCTAAACTGCTTATGACAGCTGGGTAATAAGGAAAAAGTACAGCGTGAGCCCTGGACAGAGGTATCCGAGACTGGTGACTCTGGGGAGCGCCGGGCAGTGCCACGGATAGGGAAGCGCGGCTGGGTGGGAGAGGGAGAGGGAGAGCGCTTGGGGACGGGCGGGGATGGGGACGGGCAGGGAAAGGACCGGCAGGGATGGGACCGGGCAGGGATGGGGACGGGCAGGGAAGGGGACGGGCAGGGAAGGGGACGGGCAGGGATGGGGACGGGCAGGGATGGGGACGGGCAGGGATGGGACGGGCAGGGCTGGGGACGGGCAGGGAAGGGACGGGCAGGGTGCCCCGGAGAGGTCTCCGGCCGGCGAGAGCGGCTCCCCGCACACCCGCAGGATGCCGTGAGCGGGGCAGGCGCTCGGCTCCTCCGAGCGAGGGGGAAGGAGGTGTCCGCGCCCAGCCCCGGCCTCCCCGTCCCTGCCCTACCTGGCGGCGGCGCTGCCCGGAGCAGCCGCGGGATGCCCGGCTGGGCCAGGGGGCTGCGCTGCCCCGGACACCAGAGGTGCGCCCCGCCAGCGCAGCGAGTGATGCTCGACTATTTTAGGAGGCGGAGAGGGGTGGGGTGTGTGCGCCTCTCCCCCCTCACAACCTTTCAGGGGAAGAAAAGGCGTAAGGAGGTGATGCCTTCCGTTGTCTTGGGCCGAAACGCCTCCTCCTCCGCTTTTCCGCTGAACGCACACTGTAGGAGTCCTTTCCAAGGAGTGTGCTGGAGGTAGGACGGAGTGCTAGGAACGAGTATATTGGGCTGAGTATAGCGAGTTTTACCTCTGCTACTGCTTCCTCCCCACCTCGCTGCCTGGTTTGGGAATGAGGACGTGCAAAGGGCTAACACTGAAAGGCTGGTATTCTGCAAAGACCTCAAAAGACACACACACCAAAACAAACAAACAAACAAAAAACCAAAAAAAAAATTTAAAATCCCGCCAAAAAGAATTACAAACTATGGTGTGCAGGAAAAGAGATAGGGCAAAAAGATAAGATTCTACACAAGTCCTTATGTAGTTCTTCTTCATAAGTTTTTATGAGAAATGCCCCCATTTCAGTGCTATTTTTTCTGTGCTACCATCCCCTTCAAGGGGAGAATAGTGGAAACTTTCAAGACATGAAATATTTTGTATCTCCATTGCTGCAAAGTGAGTGTATGTATTCACTTCTAAATAAGTCATCATGCCATTAGTTCAGTTTGCTGGTTAGGTTAGCCAAATGTTGTATATTGGAACTGTGGTTCCATCAGGGGTTTCTGACAGGCATATTTCTTGTTTGAGTCCTGTTCCTAAGTAAATGAATGCTTGCCATTGTTAATTCCATTAATGCTCTATCTGATAAGGACTGCGCAGTAATTCACTATACTTCTAAATAAAGTTACTTTGATAACAGCAGGAAAAAAATCATTCCCTCAGGAATCCTTTTATTTGCATATCACCCTTTTCATCTTCAGAAGTTTTCTTGGTGACAGCTACATTTCAGGTTTTTTACCCAGGACAACTGCTAATGCAAAAGTTCCCAATTCAACAGGAGGGGACAGTTTGGAGGCAAAACAAGCAGGTTACCCTTAAAAGGAGGGAGGTATTACACAGAGCTGGCTTTCTTGCATATTTTCATTGCAGAGGTGAAGTGAAGAAACCCTAGAGTGTTTTGCTGTCTCACCTCATTTGTTTTCCTCATCACAGAATAAAGTAACTATGACTAACATGTCTATAACAATTAGACCTTTCATAATGTAAATCATCACAATTCCAGGAAAGTAAACTAAGGATCTAACTAAATATAACTGCTTTTAAAATGTGTAGAAGTTCCTTTGCAGCACTTTTGGTTTTATGACTTAGTACCTGATTTTTAAACCTAAAAGAAAGCAGATATCATAAAGATGATAATGATTTTATATGACAGTCTGGAAACTATTTAGCAGCCAGCAAATAAAATGGTAAAGTAAAATGTCATCAGCTTTTTACTTTCACAGACTGTCTTCATAGTTACTGTTTGGAAACTTCTTTTTTTGACTCAGTCTTCTACAGCAATATTTTCCATGAGCTTTTTTCACATTTATTTGCTTTCATATTCTTTTGAAATAACTCTCAAGTTTCAAACTTTAATCTGCATTGCAGAAAGTGCTGTGTTCATTGTTCAACTAATGTCATAGCTAGCTCTGTGATATGTGAAAGGAGAATAAACTTTACACTTTTTAGTTCTCTGATTAATACAATTTTAATGGAGAAGGCATAGTATGGTAATAAATATGTAACTTGATTTAAAAGAGCTAGTTCTTAGATTTTAATTTTGAAAATGTCATAATAAATACGAAA